TAAAATAGACTACGGGTAATGAATAATAGACTTCAGATTTCAAACGACACATTTTGTTCAAAACACAAGTGGCGAAACACAAGTCTTCAATCTCTTCTTCTTCTTCTTCTTCTTCTTCTTCCTACTGCAGAAATATCTGTAAGAAATACATACGATGCAAACTGTTCGCTTTGTTTTTTATGGCTCATCAACCTTTTTTCAGGTTATTTAAAGCCAGAAAGCATCTTTCGATCGTAAGATGTTTATTTTTGTGGATGGGGGGTGTTATGGGACCTTACCCATAATAACATTATTCCATACGTAATAAATACTGCGCCTCAAGAGGAAGCAGGGAGTTCAGTCTGAAGTCTGGAGTGAGGTCCATCAGGAGTCAGTCAGTCGAGTCAGAGGCAGTCCGAAACAGAGTCGCGTTCAGACAATTACTACAAGACATTGGAATAGTGATACTGTTCGAGACTACATTGTTCTCTCTACTAAACCTGATTGTTCATACTAACACTTGTACTTCTCTGTATATATTCCTGTTTGTAATATATCTATGTTATTCCATATCCGTGTTCGAGTTCTTCTTTATTGGTTCTACCTTGGACTATCACCCTGGTACAAGGAACCTGGACCATAACAGGGGGGAATAACAATGATTTACTGATACAAGTCCTACTAATTGACCTATAACTGGGCGGGGGGGAATAGGTGAATTCATACATTTCCCAAGTTTATTCGCGCGTAAGTTAATATAATGAACCCGATTTTCAATCCCGAGACGTTATCATTAGACCACCATCTAGGTATTGACTAGGATCAACATTGCTTAACTTCGGTGATCTTAAGAAAACCGGTGTTTCAACATGTTATGTTCGTAAGTCACATACGGTGTAAAGAAATTTAAAATAAGATTTCATACATTACAGTTTGTGTCAACGAATGCGACCGACCCGACAGCACCTGCGATTTGATAGTTTCAAATCTAAACCCTTGAAAGTTTTCGATTGCAGCGTAGTGGATGGTGTTTGGGGTGTTCAACCGCGGAAGTATTAGTGGCCCCCACCCCCCGGGCGTCCAGGATTTACGTTTTCTTTTTTTCTTTTTTTTTTTTTTTTTTTTTTTTTTCAGTTCAACATTCCATCATCCCTCCATTTCTACACCTTCTCAACCCACTGCGTCAAAAATGACATTTCTCATTAAATTTGATGGGTGAAGGTGTTTTCAGTTAGGCTTTCTGACAGGTGGGCCTGTAAGTAAATTGACAATTATATGAGATCCGCTGTTTTTTTAAATTTTAGCGTATAGCGTCTCGCGGTGTGACATGGGTTGGGTGGAAATTTCACGCCCAAGGAAAATCAATCAGAAAATAAATTGATATATGTATGCATGCATGTATGTATGTAGGTCTGTGTGTATGGTCACCCTATAAGTGTTACTGGTTCTATGCGACCAGATATTACCTGCAACATAATTGGGTTATCGGCGACTAAACCGGTTCCCACACCAGGCATTTTTATTTTTTTTTTTGGTAGGAAGATGGCTAGCCAAATAGACGGATTAAAAACAAGATCTCTCACGGGGTAGATGAAGCCTTTCATGGCATCAACCTAGCACGAGCGTTGAGATGTATTCGTACCTGGGCTGATGTGCGGGAGCGTGGTAAAGCTCACTGGGTCCCTTCTTCTTTATATGCCTTGTCCCTTCAGGACGAAGGAGGTCATGGCCCTCCACATCCTCCTGTCGCTTATAGCAGCCAATAAATTTTGTCTTTCTGCTGCTATTTCTCCCAAACCATTTTCCACCATCCATTTAACTCAAGCCCATCAAGTATGTTACGCTCTGTCTCTGTCCCTCTTTCTCTCAATCTGCGCTGTGAGTATCAGATTTTCCAAGCCCTCCTTCCTCATTACTGATGTGGGGCCAAAGTCGGGACCACAGAAGGAAAACACGGAACACGGATTAGAGGTAAGAAAGATATATTAAACAGAAAGGTTACAAAGATAGTGTAAGTATAAGCGGAGCTTACTATGTGCTAGTGTCCAGTATTGGTAGTCGTACGCGGCTGATACTACGGTATTAGAATACTCTCTCTCTCCTCATCTTCTTCTTCTCTCCCTCGAGTGTTATGTCGCATACTTTATATAGTCCTGGAAGAGTCCATGTTGTAGGTATGTTACGGTCTCACAATAATTACTTGCCCCAGAAATTTCAACTGCCTCTTCCTGATGTTAAGTATCAATCAGTTATGTGCCATGCGTGATACACGCTTAGGCGATCATGTATCTTTCGATACATGACTGACCAGGGAATTTTTTCCCGTAGTAGGTTGCATTTCTTTCTGCAGTAGACCAGTTGCCATCCAAGGCTATAGAACCCGGTCTGTCCTGCTATTTACTCATAGCTGGGTGGAGAAGAAGAGGATTCATACCTTTCCCAAGGGTATTAGCACGTAAGTGAAAGTAATGGATTCGACTGAAATTCGAACTCTGCTCTCCGATTCCGCAATCCGAGCCGCTATCCATTACTCCATATTTTCTCTAAAAACTTGTCGTTACTCACATGTTCGGTCCATCCTTCTGTAGAACTATAATATCAGTTGCTACAAGTTTATTCTTCATCTTTGAGGAGATTGTTCAATATTCACTGTCATGTAGGATGACAGATATCACAGAACAGTTCAGTACTCTTATCTTTATTTCTAACGTAGTTTTTCTGTCTCTTAATACTCTGCTTAGCTTTTGGAAAACATCTTTGGTCATCCCAATGCGCCTTCAGATTTCAGTGTTACTCCGTCCGTCCTCTGTTAGAACACTTCCCAGATATTAAAATTGGGTTGGTGCATAATTATCAGGCGTTTCTGTAGGTGAGTTATTTGTTAATAGAAATGGCTGTTTTGTTTACTTTTTTTAATAAAAATATTATTTTATTTTCAGGTTATAAAAATACGCGTCGATAATCATATGTTCCGGAATAATCATTTAAAAATGTTATTGTTGAATTGTTGTTTCTTTTTTAAATAATAAATATTGTTTAAAAAACGCCTGATAATTATGCACCAAACCAATATTTGTTTGATTTTAGTATCCCCGATATGTAATTTGCATTTGGACCTGCCCCTTTTGCTAACAACCATCTATTTGTTCTTCTGTGTATCCAAGTAGGAAAAAGAAAACTCTGATGTAACAACTGCAGTTTTAAAAGATCCTCAATGGTGACTGGTTCTTCGTTTTGTGTACATGTCTTTCTTGCTTAAAAAGCGGAACTGACCCAGTGTAACGTCTTACTCCAATTTCGAAATTTCATTCAAAAACATCTTTTGATATTGTAAGTAACAATCAAAGCTTGTAATTATATTTTACGATGGTCATATTCGACAACGAGTTAACAGCCAAGTAATGACTCTTAGTTTATTATGTAGAACATCGACGGAGGTTGGTCGTTATATCAGTAGAGGTTGAATTGCAGTCGTGTTTCGAAACACGATTGCAATTGTGTAGCGATTTTGACATGTTTTTCAATGTAATATCCTAAAATAAAAGAATATTGCTCTACTTTGTATTGAGCCTTCTTTTAAATTAAATGTTAAAACGTTGGAATTGTACCCTGTACGTTCTCATCTTACCTGTATATATATATATATATATATATATATATATATATATATATTTAAAAGTGTATATAAATATAAATAAATATAAGTATGTATAATTATTTATATATTATTGTATGGTACTTATTAGAAAGTGCTCAATATCAGAGATAGAGCTAACATATTTGGTTGGATAGATGTGAGTTTGTGACCCATTTCACGCTTTAGCGATCGTCAGACAATCGCTAAAGCGTGAAACCCAATCGGTCACAAACTCACATCTATCCAATATATATATATATATATATATATATATATATATATATATATACTGATATATATATATATATATATATATATATATATATATATATATGTGTGTGTGTGTGTGTGTGTGTGTGTGTCAGTAGGATGTATAGTAGCATCAGAAACAAAAATCACGATAAAAGGAAAAGTAGAAAATGTAAAAGCTTTTTAAAGACGCGTTTCGCCGACGTGTGTTACGTTCGGCTTCTTCGCGTGGGAATGAAAGACGGAACTGTGTAAAGGAAATGCGTTTGGAATTTTTGAGGATAAGATAGACAATATATTAAATTACCTTATAGATAGATAGATAGATAGATAGATAGATAGATAGATAGATAGATAGATAGATAAGAAAAATAATATAGATAGATAGATAGATAGATAAGGAAAAATAGGAGATAGATAGATAGATAGATAGATAGATAGATAGATAGATAGATAAGAAAAATAATATAGATAGATAGATAGATAGATAAGGAAAAATAGGAGATAGATAGATAGATAGATAGATAGATAGATAATATAGATAGATAGATAGATAAGAAAAATAATATAGATAGATAGATAGATAGATAGATAAGGAAAAATAGGAGATAGATAGATAGATAGATAGATAGATAGATAGATAGATAGATAAGAAAAATAATATAGATAGATAGATAGATAGATAAGGAAAAATAGGAGATAGATAGATAGATAGATAGATAGATAGATATAGATAGATAAGAAATAATAGATAATAGATAGATAGATAGATAGATAAGGAAAAATAGGAGATAGATAGATAGATAGATAGATAGATAGATAGATAGATAGATTAACAAAGTGAGATATATCATTTGATAGATTGATTGACTGATTCGAAAATGTGTGGCTCTTTACTCTTTTCAGTCTATAAACCTTCATTCTGTACGAAGCTACTTCTGCAGTACTTGTGTTATACATTCATCCTTTGCGATCTGCATAACGCCACATTATTTGCCTTCTTAAAACAATTTAAAAAGATTCCATAATTGACTTTTTCACTTTCGTCTTTCTTGCAGTCGCCTTGCCATGTATCTTCCTCAAGCTGCTCATAGTACCGTTCCAAAGAGGCTTCTTCTGCGACGACGAGAGTATCATGTACCCGTATCATGAGAGCACCATCTCCACAGCGTTGGTCACAGCCGTTGGCCTCCTCGTACCCATCTTCTTTGTGAGTAGAACTTGGTGTTTACACAAGACTTGATCAGTCTTAAATACGCTCCATCCCTTTCATGACACGTTTTTCTTCTTTTTTTCGTTTTGTTTCGTTCTTGTTGACTGAATGTTTGATAACATGCACAATTCTAACGCATTAAATCCAAAGCTATATTCATATCAAACCCCCTACAAGGAACGAACTCACTATTTACTTTTCGGCTTTATTCGTTTGAACATGTCTTTAATCATTGATCTATGAAAGCTCATGTTTAGACATTTCTGAACAGTTTGGACATCATGTATGACATTTGCATGTAAGTCTGGATTTGACAAGACTAATAAAAATTACAATGTTTCCTGTCCTCGTAATGAATTTTAGTAGTATCAATAATGGTCCCGTTCTTAACCCCAAATTTGAAAACTTCGTTGAATATACAGCGTCTTAACTTATATAATTGAACAGTAACAGCGTTGATTGGGATTTTTACATTTTTCTGGTGAATATGGGGATCAATGGTGTATGCTAGCTGAATGTTCCTGGAACCTGTTCGTTTGAACATACCTTTAATCGTTGATCTATGAAAACTCTTGTTTAGACATTTCTGAACAGCTTGGACGTCGTTGATTGTGATTTAACACACTATCTTGCTCCACAAAGTAACAGTTCTGAGGAAGAAACTGGGTGGAACTTCATCCTTATTAATGGAATACGAAGGGGATGAAGATGATTCGACTCTCGGTACGTGGCATGGTGGGTCCTAACTGTGAAGGTCTAAACTAGTGGCAGTAAGGAATGTAGCTCGCCTGAGCATCGACCATGAAAATAGCAGTAGAGTAATGAGAGGCTAAAAACAGGTCAAAGGTGTTATAGGGTGGGGAATAATTCATCGCCCACAAGGCCGCGTAAACATTTTTGAGTCTTATCAAGGCAGCGAAATAATTTTTGGTCAGCTCCAGCACAATACTCCATTTTTCCTCTGATCTGACTAAAGTAGAGCATGGCAGGAGGAGTCATTTGCATTCGGCAGTGGCACATGAAACCGGCCATTTTTGCACCATTTTCACGATGGATCGTCCATGCGAATGATAGGTTCGCTTTTTACGACTTATCAACCCATTGTAGGTTATTTAAAGCCAGAAAATATTTTTAGATTGTAAGAGTTGTTTTATTTTAGATAATAATGATTTAGTGACACAAGTCTTACTAATTAACCCATATCTAGGGAGAAGAGATTGATTCATACTTTTCCCAAGACTATTTGCGCGTAAGTGAATATAACGGATCGGATTGGAATAGAAACTCCGCTCCACCAGCCATTATCCATTACACCACATACACATCCAAGCTTACAAAATCTGGTAGCCTCAAGCGGTCACCTATCTAGGTACTGACCAGGATCACTATTGCTTAACTTCAGTGATCGTACAGGAACCGTTGTTTCAACGCTGTATGGCCGTAAGCCTATCATTTTGTTTGACGTAATGTGGGATGTAAATATCTTGATCGTGTCATTGTTTTCTCTTCGAGCTCAGTTAGTTATGTGCCATGCGTGATACACGCTTAGGCGATCATGCATCTTTCAATACATGTCTGACGAGGCAGATTTTTCCCGCAGTAGGTTGCCATTCCTTGTATATAAAATTGTAAACATTGTAGATATTCATTGGGGTTTAGTTTTTAAAAGGTGTTATTCACAACGCCCCCGCCGGACAAATTGAACATATGGTAACTTGTAAGACTTCATAGAGACTCTGAGGCATTATGGTGACTGTAGTGAGAATGGTAAGTAAGAATGTGCTGTTTTGGTGTAAGAAATACTCAGATATGTTTGGGTCAGTAATTGTCAGTCAGTTATGTGCCATGCGTGATACATGCTTAGGTGATCATGCATCTTTCGATACATGACTGACGAGGCAGATTTTTTCCCGCAGTAGGTTGCCATTTCTTTCTGCGCTAGACCAGTTTCCATCCAAGGCTATAGAACCCGGTCTATGAAAGAGAGGAGAAGAGGAGGAGTCATACCTTTCCCAAGAGTATTAGCACGTAAGTGAATGTAATGGATTCGACTGGAATTCGAACTCGGCTCTCTGATTCCCCAATCCGAGACGCTTTCCATTACTCCACTAGGCTATTTCAGCTGTTTCTGTGCTTCTAAAATGAGTTCCAATCCCAGTCGGGGTTTTTTATATTCACTTACGCGCACCTACCCTTGCGAAAGGTATGAATCTACCTCTTCTACCCTTCCCCATCTTTTGGTTAATTATATTCGGACTATTGACCTTATCTTTGTTGTTGTTACTGCAATTTTTCAGCCATTGTGCCCTCGGACCTTCATCAGATGTATGTCGATCTGACTAACCAACAAGGAATTCTAAATGGAGCACTTTATTTAATCTACAGAGATAGACTGTTCTTATTCCACTGCTCATCTCTGAGGATATTGTCCAGTTCTTACTTTTACTACTGCTCAGTTATTGCTTTTCCGTTTCCACTGGGTTCAAGTAAACACTGCCCGACTCAGAGATTGAACGTACGACTACTATGCCACCAAATCCCCAGGTCATTCTCCCGTAGGACAATTTTCTGCAGTGAACGTGAAGCCTCAGCCTAACCTGCCTGCTGATTAATGCCGCTGCTGTCTGTCATGTCTACGGATATTGTCTAGTTATTATTTTATTTAGTACTATTCAAATATTGCTTGCCCGTTTCCACTGCGTGCAAGTATACGTTGCTCAACCCAGAGATTGATCTCACAACCACTATGCCACCAAATACCCCCAGGCCATTATCTACTAGGCCATTAACCCGTAGGACGAATGTTTGCTGTTTATTTTTATTGTATTTATTTGATATTAGAAACTATTTGGATGATTTTACGTTTCTTTCTTTGCATGCTCTCCCCACTTCAACGGCAGATGACAGTGTGTGAAAAATTCTCCACGCGACAACCGAAATGCGAGTACGTTTGTGTGATCGGTAGCAAGAAGAAGTACGTACCTCCGTGGATTGGCCGGCTGTATAGCACTGTGGGGATCTTCGTCTTTGGCGCTGTTGTCACAAAGCTACTGACGGACGTTGCCAAGTACACCGTCGGGCGGTTACGGCCTCATTTTCTTGACGTCTGCAAACCTGACGTGTCAACGTACAACTGTTCACAGGGATATATAACGAAGTTCACCTGTACGGGAACGAATAAAGAACTCATTGAAGACGCAAGGTAAAAAAAAGGCTTATCTCGCTCTTTCTCTCTCTCTCTCTCTCTCTCTCTCTCTCTATCTATCTATCTATCTATCTATCTATCTATATATATATATATATATATATATATATATATATACATATCCTCCCTCTCTCTCTTTATCTATTTCTCTATCAACCTATCTATCAACTTCACCCTCTCTCTCTCTATATATATATATATTTATCTATCAACTTCACTCTCTCTATCTCTCTTTCTTTCTCTCTCTATATATATATCAACCTTACTCTCTCTCTCTCTCTCTTCACACATACACACACACACACATATATATATATCAACCTCTCTGTCTATCTCTCGCTATATATATATATATATTTCAATCTCATCAATCTCACACTCTCTCTCTCACTTCTCTCTCTCTTCTCTCTCTCTCTCTCTCTCAAATATGAAGGTTACTGGGCCTTACACTACCAGGCTGGCCTATGATGTGTTGGCACAGGTTTTGAACTCAAAGTTGTCCTTCTCCGAAATCGGTTGTTCTACCAGGGCTAGAGAGCCAAGTTTGTCCTATTATTTTACCAATAGTTAGATACAAAATAGACGCATTCATGCTTTTCTCAAGAAATCAAAGTGAACGCAACAGCGCCAGCCACTATTTGATTTCAGTCTCCTTGATTCAATCTTCCGCGCCGATAACGATATATATATATATATATATATATACTGACGATTGCGTCTAGCATGAAACAGCCTGTCGCCTCTTTAAAACTATATTTCTGCATATAATATATATATATATATATATATATATATATATATATATATATATATATATATATATACGGAGTCCACCCAAAAATTTTTTTACACACTTCAGGAAAGAAAAAATTTGTATACTAAATTTCTTCAGATGTCATGAGATTAATACAAGTTACTTTTGGTTATAGTTTAGATAGAGTTTGACGCCATGTATGACATCCATATGAAAGTCACGATCAGTCGAGGCTATTTTAGAATATGACTCGAATTTTTAGATTAATGTTTTGTTTTTGTAGCAATGTGGGCCGAAGTCTGTACTAAATTTGTAAGAACTAATCCATACACCGACGTCATTGAAGTGTTAACTGACATTTTATTATTGAATTCCTATCACATTTTATAATTGCTGTACTATATATTACTATCGATTTGGGCACCTCGAGGCGGTGTAATGGCTAGCAAGCTTGTCTCGCTAGAACAATTACGATTGAGTAGTGAGTTCGATCCTCACTGGGTGTCCCATACTTTCGGCCTAGTGCCACATTTAAGCTACGCTTCGAAAATCATTAGCATTGTGAATAGTTTTAATATAAAATGAATAGCAACTGATTTTTAATCACCACAGAGAAACATTTCATCCTGCCGCCAACATGTCTGACCCTCGTCTCCTTAAGAGCAACACACTACGCCTTCTTGGCTACACGTTTTCAATGTTGGATCACTGTGTAGTGTCGGAAAATTTCTTTTCTCGTCGGAGTTCATTTTGCACATTCAAATCTACCATTCATCCGTGCATTGAATATTGCTGCTATTTCTAGTTTGATGCTTCTGCTATTCATTACGTAGTTTTTGACAAAATACAAAAAAAGGATCTGCAACATAAGTTGACCTGCCATCTCAATTTCAGTCACTTTCCCACCGATGCAGCGTGGTTTCCCTCTGTCTTTTCTACAAATATTTTCATGGCAATTGCTCTTGAGGAGCTTCATTCCTTGGTGCCTCTACTACATGAATTTAAGCATGCTACTAGATTGGCGTCTAGGTCCCACCCTTTTACTGTTGAAATAGTTAAATGTAATCACTGGTTCTACTCCAACAGTTTCTTTTCTCGCACTTACCGCATGTGGAACACTCTTCCATTTACTTGCTTCCCTAATAACTACAATCTTTAAAAATTTAAATGTAACATCAATCGCCATCTTCTATCTTCTTGAATCCCTTTTATCTTTCTTCCTTTTTTTAGCAGGGGTGTACGGAGAATGAAAGGGGAGTATAAAGCGGATTGAGGAATCCGCCTTATACGCAGGCTTTTCTTCCCCTTTCATTCCCCGTAAACCCCTGCGAAAAAAGGAAAAAAGATGAACGGGATTTGGGGGTGGACTCCGTATATATATATATATATATATATATATATATATATATATATATATGCAGAAATATAGTTTTAAAGTGTGCTATATTTATTGGATAAAATGCCCCATATCATATACAGAGGGTATGTAAATATAAATATAAAAGTGAACATTGAAGTCAACACTCAGAGGCGACAGGCTGTTTCATGCTCGCCGCAATCGTAAACCCCTGCGTACTGGTGGTATTCCCGCCTTGCTTGGGGTGAAATGATTAAAAAAGGAGGAGGGGGTAAGCATTCAAGGCATGAGCTAGAGAATTACCAATGCTTGTGAACAAATGAGAAAATAGTACGCTACTATAAACTAGATTTGGTTTCGTTTGTTTTACGGCATATCAACACCTCAATGGGTCATTTAATGCCGACAACTTTTTTTTTTTTTTGGTAATATTTTTGTTTTGTCAAAAATCCATTTCTGTTAATATTTTTTCCTCAAAAATGTATAGCTGCTAATATTATTTTTCGAAAACGTACAGCTGGCAACATTATTTTTTCAAAATCTTATTACCAGAGGCCTTGCTGTTGGACGTAGTTTATCGTCTTACCCAGGACGCGGATGTAGTTTATCATCATACCCAAGACGCGAATGTAATCTGAATGTTAATTATTTGCCCATAGCTGGGACCCTAACAGATGCTACCACCCCGGGTCAGGGTGAACCTGGGAACACCAGCAATTAAGAGGTGGTCCCACGCTCCACAAAACCTCCTGATCAGAGGCTTTACTGTTGGACGTAGTTTATCGTCTTACCCAGTACGCGGATGCAGTTTATCGTCATACCCAGAACGGTTTGGTTTGGTTTGGTTTGGTTTGTTTTACGGTATATCAACCTCTAATTCCAAGATTTTTATTGCTGGTATTTTTTTCTTCAAAAATTCATTGCTGGTAATAACCATTTACAAAAAAAGTATTGCTGGTATTAAAACCTATTTTTACACTTTCATAGTGTTTTGACCTCAGTTTGGGTGTCAACTATTTACCCATAGCTGGGTCCCTAACAGGGTGGACCTGGGAACACCAGCAATTAAGAGGTGGTTTCACGCTCCTCAAAACCTCATGATCAGAGGGCTTGCTGTTTGACGTAGTTCATCGTCTTACCCAGGACGGCTATAAATTAGGGGTATTTAGTTTACTTATTAATATATATAAAACCTACATGATTGGGGTAAAATTATTTAAAAACAAAAAAAAAAGGCTTTGAAAATCAAAGTGATTATATTTTATGAGGAATAAATACAAGAACTATTGGTAAAATAGTTTTATTATATTTACAGCAGGTAGACTGTAGAAATCTGCTTCAAATGATTTTACTATAGAAATGCACAGCAAACCAGAAAGACAAAAACATTCACAATAGTGAGAAAATGAAGTTTATTATATGTGAAATGGAGATTGTCATTCTTGAAGGCTGGCGTTGTTGAGGCAAATGATGACATCATCAGAAAAGTCAACTTCGCGTTTAGATGTCGTTCTTATGTATTTAATTATGTCAAATGTCTATTTGTTTGGCTTCCTTGTTTTTCTACTTTCCTAACATGAAGTTGCCTCTTGAAATAAAAGCATACATGCCTCTGCTTTCTGTAGGCAAAAATAAATACTAAATAAAAATGAAAAGAATTAAAAAGCAGGTGACAGCAAACCAAGTGGACAACGAAAATGAAACTAGAAATTTCTCCTCTCTCCATTTTTATTACGACCGACTTAACGCCATCAAAACACTTCAACTACTACGATTACATAACCAGTCAGTCTAGCAGCCAATGTCACTGGGGTAGGTGTTACGGCTCATCTGTGGGGGTGGACATATATGAATCAAGCCAGGGGAGATCGGGAGATGCAGGGTGGCGCAGACTGTTATCAGTGTTTTTAAAACCGGAATCGATGAACAGGGTTCGAATTTCGGCTCGGGTTAAAGCCTTTTTGTCACAGTGTCAGAATAATAGAAAAACATACTACAAAACTTGATAAAGAAAGGAATAGGCGAGTAGGAATCTGGGCTAACCACTCTCCCATAGATAATTAAAGTATTAGCATGTAAAAGATGTCAACCCCTATCCACCGCTATATACACACTGAATTAATCGTGGTAGGGGCCAATAATAATTTCAAGAATGCTTTCCCATAGGCGCAACGTTACAAGCCTATTGTTACTCTATCGCTCTTTCCGTGGTAAACATTTACATGAACTCCATTCTTTAGTTCCGACCTTTCCGGCAACGAAAAGTAAATTTGAAATATCTTCATATATGAAGATATATGAATAAAGCATTTTTTTTAAGTATTTCACCCCAAGCAAGGCGGGAGTACCATTACCACGCAAGGAGTTACAGAGAGCAAGAGTAAAAAGGGTTGTTTGAGGAAAGGGTATAGAGAAGGACGGGGATAGGGATCAAGGCATCAGAAAGACTATAAAAACCACAGAAAACTGCCGAGTTCTGGGAGGATGTAATCATGAAGAAGCTTCAAAGATGGCGAACATAGTGGATCAAAATGGCGCATATGTGGTTGAATGAATCTATGTACAATTACCTAAATACGGTTTTTAAATTTTACTTAAAAGCGCTACGGAGTTTTGTTGCAACCCAATACATTACGGTTAAATTGTACTTTCAACGTCTGAATGTCAAACGAGACAAAATGGCAAATGTGGGGTTAAATAAATCTATATACATATATCTAAATATTGTCTTTGAATTTCACTTAACAAAAAAAAATGAAAAAGAAAACGCTACTAACTTTTGTTCCGACCCGATAGCAAAACCTTCTGCTGGAGAAGACCTGGTTTTATCGTTGGGAGCAGTTTGACATAGAGTGATAACCGTTGCTTTTTTTTATGTCTATTGTTAACATAAAATTCTCATTCCCCATTCTTATTCGGTCAGGATATGGAGCGGAGGGGGGGGTTATTACCTGCTCACTAGACTGTTACAAGTGGTTGAACGTTGTGCTCAGTTCTATGGGGAGAGTTGATGAGTAACCCCAAAATTTCCTTCTAAGATTTCTCTTTAGTTTGCTCCAGATGTTACCGTCTTGTTGAATGTGATTCATGGTGCCTCTAATGCACTGATCATTGTATGTTCAAGACACGCCTTCTAAAAGATGATTATCGAAAACGAACAGTTTTTCGCAACGAGCTGTTTCAGAAAGCCTTTTAAACTAAATATTTTACTAAACTATCTTTGGCATTTACACATAGCCACTGCAACGGGGTCTGCCTCCCAAAATAGTCTTCATTGCCTTCATTGTATTGTTGCTCTTATTAAATTCATGGAACATGAAACGGTGTAAGCATAAGACTTACTCTTCAGCTGTGATTAATTTATTTATCATCTCTCAGTTGCATCTCTGTCTTTGGGCAGAGTGCACTCAGAGGCGACTCCGTCAAAGGACAGAATCGTCACTAAGGAAAATTATAGTGAGAGGTGCCCAGTCCTGGGGAACCGTTGCCTAGTCCCTCGCTCTCTCTTTGCACCAGAGAGAGGGATCAGTGCTCGCACCGAGGCCAGCGCAACCGACAGTTGCGGGGGCTTTGGACAATTTTTGTTCCTGGCCCGGGTGTACGCGCTCGGGTCCCCACCTTAAAAAAAGACAGAGTAATTACCTAGTCTTCAACTGTGATTAATTTATTTATCATCTCTCAGTTGCGTCTCTGTCTTTGAGCAGAATGCACTCAGAGGCGACTCCGTCAAAGGACAGAGTCGCAACTGAGGAAAATTATAGTGAGAGGTGCCCAGTCTTGGGGAACAGCTGTCTAGACCCTCGCTCTCTCTTTTCACCAGAGAGAGGGATCGGTGCTCGCACCGCGGCCAGCGCAACCGACAGTTGCGGGTGCTTCGGGCAATTTTTGTTCCTGACCCGAGTGTACGCGCTCCCCACCTTAAAAAAAGACACTACTCGTTTTAGTGGGAAGACAGAGTAATTACCTAGTCTTCAGCTGTGATTAAACGCTATCAACAAGTATAATCAATACATGTCGTAATGGCAGCCAATGTCCAAAACGACGTCAAGCCCGTTGTTAACTGTATCAAAAGGTGACTTGTTAATTTTAACGCCTCTAAAACTAAACTTCTCTCCATTAATCATCTGAAAAACTCCTCTCTGCCTTCCATCAGTATGGCTGATGCTAACCTCCAAGAAAGAGATCAGCTGACATGAAGTGGAAAGACTATATTGAATCTATTGCTAGGTCAGCTGCTAAGAAAGTTGGTTCACTGTGTTGTGCGAGATAATTTTCTCTCCAGAATCTATCTTATATATCTATAAGTCTACTATTTGCCCATGCTTACAATATTGTTGTCACATACAGTACCACGGAAAAGTTTACAACACATTACAAAAAAGTTTTTAGTTATTTCTAATACAGTTATATTAATTAAACTTTTACTACTCATAGAACATATATTTAAGTATTCAGTCAAACAACCAGACTAAAAAAAAACAAAAAACTTCAAAAAAGTATCCCACAAAGAAAAACCGATATTTAGTAACTCAAAAGTTAACAACACATTTTTTATTTACAACAGATTTTTTATAAAAGTGTTCAGTTTTTACTAGAATGTTCCAAATTAGGATGCGGTTTTTTAAAACGTTCCAAATTAATTTTATGATTACTTTTAGCAATGATTAAAAGTATTGCGTCATTCTTTTTCTGTCAACTGTCCTTTAAACATTGACAAAATGGGGGAAAGCAAAATAATTGATCAAAATCTCCGTAAATGTATTGTTGACCTTCATACAAATGAACTTGGTTATAGGAAGATATCTAGTCAGTTAAATTGGTTTTTTCCTCGTGGGATAATTTTATTAATTATTTTTAAAAATCTGATTGACTAAAGGCTTGCCTATATATATATATATATATATATATATATATATATATATATATATATATATATATATATTAATGCATGTTTCATTAAATAATATAGACAAGTTTTGTATTTTTATTTTAAGTAAGTTCTTTTCATATTGTCTGATAAGCTTAATAACATTATCATTGAAAGACGAAAGGAAATCACCATATTGATACATGTTTAAATCCAATCTAAGCTTTCAGCTTACATAAGCCATTATCAAAGATGGCAGTTACATTTCAATATATCAACCAATACACGGACAAAACAATAATGATAGTCTGTTTTTGTTGCATGAAAAATTTCAAAGCAACGACTAACTTTCGTCTTTCAGTGATAATGTTATTAAGCTTATCAGTCAATATGAAAGGAACTTACTTAAAATAAATAGACACAACTTCCCTTTTATTTTTATTTTCTTTTATTTCCAAAAATGTTTTTTTTTTTTTAACAATTTCTTTCTCTTTTTCAGATTATCGTTTCTGTCGGGTCATTCATCATTTGCCATGTACTCTATGTTATATCTGGCGGTAAGTACTTTTTTTTACAATAAAAAGCAATGAACTTTCAGAAATTACAGCAAAAATATCAAAAATCTTTCGTGGTTCACCAAAGATTTGCCCGTGTACTGAGCATAGGTCCAAAACAATTCGCTGATAATATACTATCCGGCTACGCGTTTCCGAGCACACCCGTCTCCTAGGGTCATTAGTGAGTCCCTATTGCAGACGCCTGCTCAGGCATATTTGTATTTCATCGACATCGAATAACCCTATTTTGTTGTCTTATACTGCAACTATGTAGTTTCTGGGAATAAGCGCATAATTTGGCGTTACAAGCTTACAAACTGAAAAGGGCGAAATTTTTCAGATGTTTCCAAAAATCGGATCACACAAAAGTATCGTATCCTATACCCACCATTTGATTCTAATGTATAAACACCGGTAATATATTGACTGTCCGCTAACCACCCTAGTAACCAGTTCCTGCTGGACGAACCTGCGTCCCCTTTGTAGGAGAAACCGCCGTTTGATCCAGTGTGCCGGAGAGCACATTTTTTTTATTAAGTTTTCTCCAGTATACATGCCGATAGACCTAACATACACTATTTAAAATAAAATAAAAAACATGTCGTCTATTTCAAACACGGGTATCCACTATTTGAAGTAATAAAAATATCGGATTAAATATGAATCTACTAATAATATATATATATATATATATATATATATATATATAAAAAAGTGAACATTGAAGTCAACACTCCAGAGGCGACAGGCTGTTTCATGCTGAACGCAATCGCCAGGCCGCCTGACGATTGCGTCTAGCATGAAACAGCCTGTCGCCTCTGAGTGTTGACTTCAATGTTCACTTTTATATTTATATTTACATACGCTCTATCTCTGATATTGAGTGCTTCATCACATAAATATATCACACCTTAAAAGTATATTTCTTTATATATATATATATATATATATATATATATATATATATATATAACGCGTATTTCGGCGTAAAAATCGACCTTTTAACCTTAACTCCCCTCCCACTTCAAAAATGGGACGGTGGGGGGCATCTTATACTTCAGGTATAAAATGTGAACCTTAAATCCTGTGGTTTATGGTAAGTTGTTAGAATGGAAGATTTTTTATGGTCGGCTAATCCCTGCCTTAGTAACCGCCAACACAAATAAGTTCTACTGTAATAAGTTGATTCACATTATTATTATAAAATATTAAAAATGTAGAGTAATAAAAGTACTCTTACCTCATATGCGTCTAAAGAAGCCGTTTATAGAGAGCATTCGAGAACAGTTGAACGAATGGATGGTAAGCGGGAAAATGTCATTCAGGTTACCTTAATAGGCTACGGAAAACACAGCAATCACTTGAGGTGTTGTAGATTGCGGTAGTTAATTGACAATGTCAGCCCACCGTTTTTTTTTCTTACATTTTGAGTGAAAAAATAGTATATGCTTAATTAATTTATTTAATAAATTCAATACAATACATCTTAAAATACGACTTGTTGGGGGTCGTCTTGTACGGCGAATATAGCCCGAAACCTTGAAAATTTGGGGGTCGTCTTATACAAGCCAGTCAACCCGTACTCCAGCACACACACACACACACATACATATACATATATATATATATATATATATATATATATCATAAAGAAGTAATTTATACAAAGAATTAATTAGCAATGTTAATGCGATTAATGGCGAAATCACTTCGCTAACAAGACTTAATGAGACATTAACTTACTATCATTTCCTTGAATAATACGATTCTTATATTTGAGTTGTTGGCATATTTCAAACACAATATATATATATATATATATATATATATATATATATATATATATATATATATATATATATATATATGGGAGGGATTCTGTTTCTTCTTCATTTTCTTCTACATTTTCTTCTCCTCCATCTTACCTTTTTCTTTCTGTCCTCCTTTCTTTTTAATTTCTTTCTTCCTCATTTCTTTCTTTTTAAAATCTTTCAATTTCTTTCTTTCTAAAAAATTTCTTTTTTTCTAATTTCTTTCTCTCCTTCTTTGAAAAATCTTTTTTTCTTCCTAATTTCTTTCTTTCTTTCTAAAACAGTCTTCTTTCTTTCTAATTTTTTTTCCTTCTTTCTTTCTAAATTCTTTCTTTCTAATTTCTGCCTCGTTTATATTGCATCTTACAATATACGTTGTTTATTTTCCTTCCTTCTGCTTTATTCTTTCTTCGGCTTCTTTTTATCATTCTTTTGTATATTTTTTTTTTTTTTTTTTTTTTCATCCACCATTTTTTGTTGCACATCTTTCACTTCTTTTACTTTTTAATTGTTTTTATTTTCCCCTTTTTCTTTCTTTCTTTCTTTCTGTTTTGTTTTTTTTTTGTTTTTGTTTTTGTTTTTTTGGCGGGGTGGGGAGGGGATCCACTTTCATTCTCTTTCATTCTTTCTTCTGTTTCTTTTTTACCATTCTTTTCTTTTTCTTTCTTTCTTTTTTCTTTCTTCCATCCACCATTTTTTTTTTTTTTTGTCGCACGTCATGACTTCTTTTACTTTTAACTTTTGTTTATTTTCCCTTTTCCTTTCTGTCTTTTTTTTTTTTTTTTTTTTTTTTGGCGAGGTGCGGGGTCTCCTTTCATTTTCATTTCCTGATTTCATTCTCTTTCATTCTTCATTCTTTTCTTCTATTTCTTTCTTTCTTTTTTCTTTTGCTGGACTTCCTTCATCTTACAACTTACTATCTTTCCACATTTTTTCCTTTTATTTTCTTTCTTCTTATCATTCATTCTTTCGTGTTTTATCATCTTCTCTACTGCCGGACCAAATTCCTTGCTTTCTTCTCGTTTTTCGCTTCTTGCTCCGTGTATCTTTTTTCTCCTCAGAATCGGATTCCTATTCTTTTTGTTCCTCTTCTCAAACTCGTTTGCTATAACGGCATTCAGTTCCCGGACAGGCAGCGTGTAAAATAGAGAAAAATTGTTTATTTTTGTGTTATTTCAGCAATCCAAACGACGCAGCGAACAGAGTGCAAACCAAACGTTCTTTTAAGAGGCGACGATTGTCTTTCTTAGCATGTATCATATAACAGACAGACTTTGATAATACACAAGACAAACACACACACACACACACGTATATACATATATATATATACCGGGTGTAACAGCAAAATTGTCCAAATCGTGTAACACCACGCGACAATTGTCCATCCCACAAACTTAATATCTAATAAAAAAAACTAAACTAATTGAGTTTCTTTTTGCCAAGTTTTCAGATAAGTCATTTAGCCATCTTGACACCATTTGTCGTAAGAATCACTGAAAAAAACCCTTTGAGTTATTCAGCTAGAAAGAACAATTTAAAATCGTTTTGTGTCAGTCCCACTATGTCTTCCCAACTGAGCAACGGTGAGAGAAAATATATCATCCAGGCCTTCAATAATGTTACCAACATTCATACTCTGGCTTCCATCTTCAAAGTCTATTCAAGAACCGTCAAGAGAATGGTGAATAAGTTTAAAAAAGAAGGAACAGTAGAGAGGAAAACTGAATCAGGAATAACAACAGGAAGAGGGATCATCATTTCAATTTGGAGCTAAATACATCCTTATTGTTCAAAGTAGACTCCAATAGTATTATAAAAACCTCGGAGAATTCCAGTAAGATACCTTTAATCATTTCTAAGATACAATAGTTCAAAGCTTAATCTAACAATTGGACAAATTTGCTGTTACACGATATGGACAATTTTGCTGTTACACACAGCATATACTCGCGCGTGCGTCCTCTGTGTGTGTGTGTGTGTGTGTGTGTGTGTGTGTGTGTGTGTGTGTGTGTGTGTGTGTGTGTGTGTGTGTGTGTGTGAAAGCGATCCAAGCGGACGGCACCTTTGTAAGATTCCTGAAAATCATACCACGGGTTGACCCAAGTCTTATGAGTGAAATTAGGTAGACGGACTCCTTGGGAAATGTCAGTGGTTGTGCTAGCAGGAAATCACAAGCCATCGTGACCGAGTGATTGAGCGTGCTGGCCTTGTTCAGATTGTTGATCACGCTAGATAACACGCTCTATCCCAGAAACTGTAACTAAGGTCTGCTCAGCATAGTTGCAGTATAAACCACAGGTGGGCTCCGTGGATGTTGAACAAACACAAATGGGCCCGATTTTTTTTTTTTTTTTTTTTTATTTTACAAAGAGCGACGTTTGTTATTAGTAAGAAATGTCAATTTATGAAGTTAGTAATTAGTGTTGCTGATTTCGGTTCGACTGTCGCATTTCGATGTGGCATTGAATGGAACATGGTTCAGATTTTCTCCTTTCTTTCATTCATTCTTCTTGGAAGTCATTCCAACGCTCTTGGAGATTGCGTAGTTTTCGTTGAAGCACTTGTTTTCTTGAGTTTCCACCACGATCGGTCAATTATATTGAGATCAGGCCTTTGTGATGGCCAGATAGATAGATAGATAGATAAATAGATAGATAGATAGTAACGGACGTGAATAAGATAGATAGGGTCAATTATACTGAGATCAGGCCTTTGTACTGGCCAGTCTCTCAGATAGATAGATAGATAGATAGAAACGGGTGAGAATAGATAGATAGATAGATAGATAGATAGATAGATAGATAGATAGATAGATAGTAACAGACGTGAATAAGATTCCCCCTTGCCAGTCTCAAAAAAGATAGTAGATTTAGATTTATATTGATAGATAAATAGTTCTTTGTTTATATTGGGTTCTGTAAACTGATTTCTCTCTGAACGAACATGAGGTGACCAGCTGAAACAAGAATCAGTGACCGGCTAAGATTTGTCTCAACAATAGAACATCTTGTAAGAGCGTCGAATGTGTACACACCGGGGTGGTCTAAACAACTTCGTTACGAAAGCACCCAAGTGGCTTTTACCTGATCTGGGGCCAACTTCTCATCCAGTATTCCACTTCTGATTGCGTAAATTAAAGCAATCGCCAACCCATACGGCTAAACGCATGCACGGGGCTCTTTATGACGGCTGCACGATCCTAGAGGGCTTTTATCGGCCTCCTCACGAAGGCAAATTCCACACAAGGTCAGATTCAATGTAGCTCTCCTTTCCTCCAGAAAGGGAATAATCCTCACGCGATTTACTTTATACTGCACCCCGGGAGTATATTCTTTTTCTTTACGTGACGTGTTCTTTGGAGCGTGGATAATCACAGCTCTCTAATTTTTAAACGATATATTCCTGTCTTAGTTCACCCGATACTTGACCCAAGAGCCACTCAATGCAGAGGGTTACAAAATGAGATTGTTGTAAAGGAAGGGTTAGGAGGAAGGAGAGCTTATTATAATGATATGTATGTTGATTGATTGATTTATTCATTTTTTACGGCTTATCAACCATTTGCCGGTTACTTAAATCCAAAAAATATTTTTTTAGATTTTAGTAAAAAACAAAGAAAAGATTAAGGTAATAATGATTTAGTAATATAAGTCTTACTAATTAAGCTGACGAGTTGGATTCGTACATTTCCCAAGACTATTTGCGCGTTAGTTAATATAACAAACCCGACTGGAATTGGAACTCGGTTCTCCGGTTAACAATGCTGAGCCGTTATTCGATTACACCACCTGCACATATGAAGCTTACAGCGCTTGGTATTCCCAAGCTGTTACTCATTTGGCTACTGACCAGGCTCGACGTTGCTTAATTTCAGCGATTGTACGGGAACCGTTGTTTCAATGCAATGTGGCCGTAAGCTAAGGTGGGTATCGGTTGATCCTAGACTTGAAGACATTAAGAGTGCAGTAATCGGGAAGCATTCTCTCGGGAGTCTGTTCCACAAAATAACAGTTCTGGGGAAGAAAATGTCTGTGAGAAACTTACTCCTTATCAATGAAATACGAAGGGGATATGGAATGGCGGGTCCTGGCTTTGAAAGTCTGGACTGGTGGGACTAAAGAATGGTGCTCGTTTGAACATTTGCCATGGAAATAGCGATAATGCTTCATTTCTGGAAGACATTTTTCGCTATTCCTTTGAGCGTTCGGTTTTTTGTGTCACATTTACAATCGTCTGTTACTGCACGGACCTGCTTTTTCCCCAGGCCCACCCTATTACACCACCCGCATAATGAAGCTTACAGCACGTGTTATTCCCAAAAGGTTACCCATCTAGTGATGGATTCTGTGCTCTGTGACTGTTGTCTTCAGTGGGTGAACCTGAATTGTATATGGCAAGAGAACCATGCCCAAGGGCCAGCTTTGGATTGGCAGAGACAGTTATACTTGGACTGCTTAAAATATTCAGAGTCTTCCATATTTCTTTTTAATAATTGATGATGACTAAATGATTTTGTAAATATAAGTAGCTTCTTTATTATATTTGACATTGTCAGGGCAGTGGTTGTGTGAACTGTGTAGGCAGGACTTGAACAACAAGGATTCTGTGATCTGTGACTGTTGTCTTCAGTGTATTTGGCAAGAGGATCATGTCCAAGGGAAAATTTTGGATTGGCAGCGACTGTTATGCCTGAAGTGCTTAAAAAATTCAGAGTCTTCTATATTTCTTTTAATAATTGATGGTAAAAAAATGATTTTAACTTGTATTTTAACAATTGATGATGGAAAAGATTTTAAATTGTATTAACAATTGATGATAAAAATAAATAAACTTCCATGTTAAATCTTTGTTGTTATTTTTAACATTACCTGCCTTCGTAATAATAAAAATATTTACTGGCAAAATAGCCTGAAGGGGTCTATTTTTACCAAGACCCGTTAAATAAACTTAAAAGCATTTATATTTTATCGGGACCGACAAAATAGCCTTTTTTTATTTTTTTTTTTCGCAAAAAATAATCGATTAGCTACTATATACCTTAATGCACCAGTAATATTTTTAAAAAAATGTTTGTCCATTGCAGATTTACGTTCATGTGGCATTCCCTCGACGCATGTGTTCACTGATGAAAGGTGTCATCGAAGTGGCTAGCATCATCTTCGGTTTTTACACGTGTCTCACTCGGATCTCGGATTATAAACATCACTGGAGTGACGTGCTCGCTGGCGGAATACTTGGTGTCATCATTTGCCTCATTGTCGTAAGTTGGCTTCGTTCCGTTCGAATCCATATCGACTTTTTTAATTAACAACGCTGAAAAAAAAGCTCGATTTTAATATTTCTTTTTGGGAGTAAGGAGATTATGACGCTTTTTTTTCCTTCTCCTTTTATTCTTTTTCCTTCTCTTTAACCCCCCCCCACCCAATTTTATAACCCCTACTTATTATCTCTCATCTTCGTTTCTTCTTCTTCTTCTTCTTCTTCTTCTTCTTCTTCTTCTTCTTCTTCTTCTTCTTCTTCTTATTCTTCATCATTCTTCTTCTTCTTCTCCTTCTTCTTCTTCTTTTTCTTCTCTTTCTTCTTCTTTTTTCTTCTCTTTTTATCTTCTTCTCCTTCTTCTTCTTCTTCTTCTTCTTCTTCTTTCTTCTTCTTCTTCTTCTTCTCTTCTCCTCCTCCTCCTTCTTCTTCTTCTTCTTCAACTCCTCCTCCTCCTCCTCCTCCTCCTTCTTCTTCATCTTCTTTTTCTTCGACCTTTTCCTCTCTTTTTCTTTTCCTCTTTTTTTCTCCTTCCTCCTTCCTCTTCTTTTCTTCTTCTTCGGCTTCTTCTTCAAGTCATAAAATAAGAACTACCAGTTCCTTAATCTATGGTTACTAGCGTCCACTTGATGTGCTCTGTACTGACGCAATGAAATCATTTCCATTTAGGCTTTAATTCTATCAAATCAAGTCAGGCACAAGGTCACATTAAATGAGTATCTAGTAATAATTGAAATCTCTAATAATAGCTTGCAAAACACGCTTTTCACCGTGAAAATCGCTCACATAGATAGAATATTATACAATGAAAATTGTAGATCAGAATTCAACTATCGTATATACTCGTGTATAGCGCGACTTTTTATAATCAGGTTTTTTTTTACAAAAACAAATAGGGACCCGTATTAAATGAAGATATATTTTTGAAGCTGTTAAAATTCATACCAAAAAAGTTCACAAGTCGTTCTATGTATAAAAGGCGGCTTATAACGCCATGCCGATATATATATATATATATATATATATATATATATATATATATATATATATATATATATATATATATATATATATATATATATATATATATATATATATATATATATATATATATATATATATATAAAAAAGGCACGGTGGAGTAGTGAATAGCAGCTCAGGCTGAGAATCCATTACATTCACTGACGGGCTAATACCCTTGGGAAAGGTATTAACCCTTTTCTTCTCCATCCAGCTATGGGTAAATAGCAGGACAGATTGGGTTCTATAGCCTTGGATTGCAACTGGTCTAGGAGAAGGACAATTCTGAATTCAAAACCTGCGGAGGGTCGTTTGTGGACCTTGTGTTACGTAGCAACGTCGACTCTGGTCAGTACCAAGATGGGTGACCACCTGGGAATAGCAGAAGCTGTACGCTTGAATGTGTAGGTGGTGTAATAGATAATGGCTCGGAATTGTTAATCGGAGAGCCGAGTTCAAATTCACTTACGCGCAAATACCCTTGGGAAATCCACCTTTTCTCTCTCCAGCTATGGGTTAATTAGTAAGACTTGTATCACTAATACATTATTATCTGAAAAAATTCTTACAATATAAAATATTTTATGGCTTTAAATAACCTGGAAAGGGTTGATAAGCCGAAAAAAATGAATCAATCCATTTTCCCTCTTTTATTTATTTATTTCCTTATGATCTGGAATTGCAATGAAAGCAGCGATGTCACCTGTTCATCTTGAATCCATCATAAAAATTCAGGAAGTGAAATTAGTAAATACTAAACACTTCAAATACCCCAGCGTATGGATCAGTTATAACAAATTTAGTAGAGGAGAAAAGGGAATTGGACATAGAATAGACTGCGCCAAGGGTAGTTTCCCACAACACCGTCAACTGCTACAGAACCAAAACATCAACCAGAAAACTCGAGTCATGTTCTTAAACAACCTCGTCAGATCGAGTTTTTCATACGGATGTCATGCATGGTGCCAAACTGTTCAGAAATATCTTAACTGTCAGCTGTATACAACCGCTTGGCGCTTAAAAATGGCCTTGAGCGCATTGAATCCTTAGAGTTTGTCAAAGATCATTCTTTTGAACATTGTGGACTGGCGCTACAGATTCACAACCAAAGATCTGTTTCAGAAACACTTTTTTTATCTTTTCTCACGCTTTCCCTTTCTCTCTTTCTTTCTCTCTTTCTCTTACTTTTTCCTCTCGCTCTCTCTCTCTCTCTCTCTCTCTCTCTCCTCTTTTCTCCCCTTTTTCTTACGCTTTCCCTTTCTCTCTCACTTTTCCTTTTCCTTTCACTTTCACCGTCTCTTTTTTGCCCATCCACTCTCTTTTTTTCTTTCGTTGTTCTTTTTTCTCTCTCTTTTCATTCACACTCTCTCTCTCTCTCTCTCTCTCTCTCACACACACACACACACACACACATTCACTCTTTCCTTTCTCTCCCACTTTTCCTTTTTCTTTCGCTTCCCCCTTCTCTTCCTTTGCATTTCAATGCCCTATTTTCTCTCGGTTTTCCATCTCTCTCTTTCTCTCTCTCTCTCTCTCTCTCTATCTCTCTCTCTCTCTCTCTTTCTATCTATCTATCTATCTATCTCTTTCTATTTCTCTTTTGCTCCCGCTTTACGTTTCTCTCTATCATTCCCATTCTCTCTCTCTGTCTCTCTCTCTGTCTCTGTCTCTTTCTCTCTCTCTCTCTCTTTTCCTTTCCACCTCCCTCCACTCGGAAACATTCACGCTTTCTTCTTTCTCTCTCTAATTTACATATCGTTAATTTTCACTCCCACCTCTCCCTTCCTCCCTCCCCCTCTCTCTCTCTCTCTCTATATATATATATATATATATATATATATATATATATCTGTTTTCTCATTGGCTGTTAAATGATCTGCTGCTATTTACTGCCTGCATTTATTTTGCTCTTAATTTTCCTTCTCTTTTTCTTACTGTTTTTTTCTTCTTTTCTTTCTGTTGATTAGTTTTCAGTGTTCCTGTCGCACGTCAAATCAAGGCAATCGTCGTCTGACTCTAACAACACGGTTAGTTAGTTAGCTCTCTGAACATTCTTCAACTTCCACGCGTCCAGGTCACTCCACATCTCGTTGGACCAGGTCAATTTTGGTCAGCCTTCTTGAGTAATGCATTTAACTATTGCATGGCCCTGAGAATCCATCCCCCCAAAACTACTTTCGCCCGCCCTCCACCATTTTCTGTTCTTTTTTTTTTCTGGAATGAAACTCACCCCCTGGCAATGTAAAACTAACGATTTGTATCTTTTTTTGATTTGTGATTTGCATTTTCCAAAAGTCTTGTAGCCGCATTCAGTTATCTATACCGCCAGAAAATAAAACGATAACCGATCGATTTTTATTGATTATTTTCTATCGATCTGTAAATCCGAAGAAGAAAACTAAGAAGGCTCTATAACGTAAATGTTGGGTTAGTGAGTATATTGTTAACGTTGTGCACACGAACTCATTTTTTTAAGCATTTCACCCCAAGCAAAAGGGGAGCGCCACTAGCACGCAAGGGGTTACAGAGAGTGAGAGCAAGAATAAAGAGGGGGGGGTGTTTGAGGAAAGGACGTCGAGAAGGACGGGGATCAGGATCAAGGCATTAGAAGATGTCGATTGACATGACATTTGAATATTTGAAAATTATAGCGGTCAGGGAAGTAAGTAAGGGGAAGGGAGTTCCACAGACGGGAAGTGCAAGGGAAGAAGCTGTTGGAGTAGAAGAGATGGTTACATTTAATTGTTTCGATAGTGAAAGGTTGGGACCGAGATGCCAACCTAGTAGCACGCTTAAATTCATGCAGATGCGGTACCAGTGAAAGTAGCTCGTCACAGCAGTTGCCATGAAAATATTTGTAGAAAAGACAGAGGGAAGACACATCACGTCTGTGAGAAAGTGAGTGTAGATGAGATGCCAGATCAGGACCTATCACATTGCATATCCGTCTCTGGATTTTGTCGAGGACCACCAGATGAACAGCGGGAGCACCAGACCATATATGGCAACAGTACACACACACATACACACACACATACGCATACACACACACGCACGCACGGACACACACACACACACACACACACACATATATATATATATATATATATATATATATATATATATATATATATATATATTACTACGTAATCAATCATTGGTTGATTACGTATAGACTAAAGTTGAATAAAAGGAAGCGAAACATTAAACAACTTAACACAACTCCTCTCTCTCCCTCTCACACACACACACACACTCCTCCGTGCGCGTCCTCGCCATATCAATTAACACAATCATGCACACATATTTATATGGTAAGTGTGGGAGGGAGTTACTGATTTTGTCTGGGAAGGTAATGTAATAAGGGAAATTAAAGACTGGCTCGCCTAAGTGCTCATACTGTCCATCATCGAGGTATTACAGTAATGCTATATTTTAACTAATATATAGATAGATAGATAGATAGATAGATAGATAGATAGATAGAACAGAGCAAAGGGAGAAATGGACTCATGCCTCTACCTCTTCCTATTGTGAAATAAACATATGCAACTTTGACGATTCCGTTTTCTGTGTTTCAACCACAGCCTCCAGACATCTTCCGAATCTCCTGCAACTCTTCTGGACGGCCTCCTTGTTTAAATTGGTGAATGCTGTCCATAATCCTTTTGGTGTTACAAAGTGTTTTGTTAGTCTCTCGCTCAACTGCGCCCTATACATAATAATCAAGGGGTTTGGAGATTGAGGAGTTAGGTGGCCAGATATAAGGTTTGATGTGGTCGCAGATGACTTGGCTCTCCTGCTTGTGTGGCATGGGGCAGAGACCGGTTGCCAGACATAGGGTCTTCCAACAGCCACCCTCTTGACCTAGAGCAGCAATACCTCCTCCAGGCACTTGATGTAGGCCTCCGTGTTAAGTCTGAGGCCCTCACAAACGAAATCGGTAGTTCTTTTCTTAGAACGATCAGTGTGAGTTTTCCCAGCTGTAATCACCATTAGACTCATTAGATATTTGCTAGAACTTTTTCCGAATCCTTTTGCACTGTCTTCAGACTGACACCCAAACACTCTGAAATGTTCGTATTGGAGCTTCCAGTGCGAATGCCAAGCAGTACAGCTTGCCGTTTCCAAATTTCTGGCGGAGTGAATTGTGTTATAGTACTCTTTTTTTTTTTTATCACAGACGATGCCCAGCTGACCCTACTATACTGTGCAGTCGACAAAATCAAAAACAACGCGCATGCGCGAAATTAAATATATAAAATGGCGACAATTTACCCTGTAGATAGATATTATATCTGCTTTTGAAGACTGCTTGTATATTGTCATCCAGTATACCACAATATACAAGTATTATTATATTATGTATACTACATTATGCATAGTACAGTATGTATACTATATTATATATAGTATACATACTGTACTATATTATATATAGTATACATACTGTATACTATATTATATATAGTATACTATATATGTACTATATTATGTAGTATTATTGTATACTCGTTCCTATGCATGTTTATTGATGTATATACGTGTGGCTATGTGTGTAAATACAGTTACGTGTATCCATATTTAGACGTTTACGCATGTGTTTATATATAATACTATGTATAAATATGTTTGTGTCTGTATATATATATATATATATATATATATATATATATATATATATATATATATATATATGTGGATGTATGTTGTCTAAATACGAGTTCTCGGTCCAACCCAGTTCCTCAAATTGCTATTTTAATGAGCAAACGGGACGATGTGAGTACTGTAATCATTATCGGCGCCGAAACTGGTATCCGTTGGGCCCAGTTCAAGTTTCGACCTCGTCTATTGCGCCCACTTTCACGTTAATGCCCTTTGGGCAGGCATGAACACATCTTTTCCCTCCCACCTCCACCTATGAGTTAAACAACAGAGTAGATTCGTCTCTAGCCTTGCTTGGCAGCCAATCTAGGAAAACTCTGAATAGAAAACTTTACGCAAAAACACTCCACTGTCCTCCCCTTGAAGTAATGGCAATTTACAGTTAATAAAGAAAAGGAAGTTGTGGCGGGATATGGTCGCCTACGTTCTGAAGTGAATGCTTTTAAGTCTGAGCTCTCAAGCCTTGGCTGCCAACCAGACTAAAGAAAGAACTCTTAATTTCAAACAGTTGTGAAAACAACGGGAAAACACTTCACTGTCTTTCCAAAGAAGTCATGACAATTCCTAGACAAAGGGTTCTGTAGACAGTCTTGGTTTTGGGATAAAAAAAACGAATTGTTTCCAAACATCAGAATACCGATTTCGGGGAGGTTGGTTGACCCGAGAACTTTTCAGCATTGGCATACTACTCGTACGTGTATATAATTTTGCTTTTTCTTCACCAATTATGTTCCATTGCATTAAGCTTCTGCCACAAAACTTTCGTTACATGTAAAACATATCTTCACACATGCTTACATATGCTCCATATTACGGATGCATATGCACTTTTTCTTTATGTTCTAATATGCACACACACGCACACATATATGACGCAGACACAAGCACATTTTCTTATATATAGATATTCTTTACACCTGTTCTTTTTAGCTGACAGAGAAGTATATGAAAAAAGAAAAATTAACTTTTCTATAATATAAAACACAGTATGATTACATATACACACACACACACACACACATATATATATATATATATATATATATATATATATATATATATATATAAAGACAAAAAGAAAATTTATCTTAGCCGATGCATTTCATCATCTGATCGACCTTTTTGTTTTGATAAAGTCTCTCAGAAACGAAAACGTGTCGGCTATGATAAGTTTTCCTTTTGTATTTATTGATATTCATATTCTTTTACAGATATACTCTATCTAAAAGTTTTATACACGCACACACATACACATATACTCGCGTATCATGCGACGTTTGAAGACCTAATTTTGAAGTCAATTTTTAGGTGGGGGTGGTCACATCATACACGAGATATAAAATTAGCGTAGGTACTGCTGGCGCTGGTTACGCCGTTGACCAAACAATATATCCATTGACTGTTGTCAAATTAGCTTCAAAATTAGATCTTTAAAGGTCGCATGATATGCGATTATATATATATATATATATATATATATATATATAGTAAAAGTAATAAATCCGTTGGTGTATAATCCTATTAAAACTAATCCACAAAAAGAGCTCCATGTATTTATTATCACAGAGCAAATAATTAATACAGAATAAAATCCAAAAAATCACCATATGAGGTGATTTGGGATTTTTGTTAATAATCATAACACACACAGATATATATATATATATATATATATATATATATATATATATATATATATATATATATAATTTATTTTAGGATATTAATCGAAAACATGCCAAAAACGCTACACAACTGCAGTCGTGCTTCGATGCGCAAACAACGTAATTGTAAATTACAATTTGCGTTGTATGAGCATCGAAACATGATTGCATTTTGTGTAGCGTTTTTAACGTTTTTTTCAATATAATATCCTAAAATAAATAATGTTCTACTTTGTATTGAGCCCTCTTTTAAATTAAATCTTACGAATGTTGGAATTGTACTCTATTCGTTCTCAGCTTTTGGATATATATATATATATATATATATATATATATATATATATATATATATATATATATATATATATATATATCGATTCAATGAGAACGAAAGTAATAAATAAATTCTAACGTTCAC